TTCGGTACATACATCGATATGTGTATATATATATATATATATATATATATATATATATATATATATATATATATATATATATATATATATATATATATACACATATATATATATATGAGTATATATATATATATATATATATATATATATATATATACATATATATATGTGTGTATGTATGTATGTATAATTTAAATTGGAAATTATATTAATAAAATGCTTTTCTTTTAAAAACGAAACTTTTTATGTTTCAAATATTTTTAAAAATAAATTTACTTTCATTGATATTTAACTTTTTTCTCCTCATAAACACAGTTAAGAATTGATGATAAACATAAATAATTTTTAATAGTTTAGACAAACAAAAAATTATATTGACAATGAGTGGCAATTTGCAGTGAGTGAACATAAAAAGCTATGCACCACTAAATTAACAAATTTAACAAATGTTATTTTTGTCAATTTTAAAAGACATGCAGTTGTTTCTTTTATCAGGTTGTAGAATACTATGAAAACTTACAGTTTAACAAAGAGCAAAATGAACTAAAAAAGAAAAGAAAGGAGGAAGGTATCACTTCTTGATTTTAATGCTGGTTAGCCTAATATTTTTTAGATACAGGTTTCAAATATTTAGTTTTTTAAATAAACACAGGTTTTAGATTTATTTATTAGAGCGTTTAGCAAAGCAACTTAAAGAAGAAGCTAGCTTGCGTCAAAGGAAACGAGAGGAGAGAAAAAATAAGCAGCAAAAAGCTTTAAAAGAAGAAGATTTAACAGGTAAGAAGAATGCCAAAGCAAGATAAAATTAGTTTTTAATGTTTGAATTTATATAATAAATCAATAACAACAACAAAAATATTGCTGAAAAACTAAGAGTTTTTAGGATTTCAAAAATTCTTTAGTTTTGTTAATTAAAAAGAAAATAAAAATGACAAACTGACAATTAAAATGACAAGGTGATAATAAAAATGACAAGCTTTCTTCATTTAATGTTCCCAGAATTTAGAATATTCTTTACTCTTTTAAGACTAATTTAGGATTGTTATATATAATGGATGTAGTTGCAACCAACTACTTCCATTATATAGATCCTTTTTGCAAGGTCATCGCAGATGGCAATCATGTTTTTTTTATTGTTGAAAAAGAAAAAGGAAATAAAGTAAGGCAATTAAAAACTGAATTAATTGCCAATTGTTTAAAATAAAGAAAAAATATCAAAATAAAAGAAGAGTAAAACAAAAAAACAAAAAAAAAAAACTTTTAACAAAAAAACACTCAAAAACAACATTTAAAAAAAAAACAAATAAAAGAAAATTCGAATATCGATTTTTACTTAACAATAAAAGAAAAAGAAAAGAAAAGAAAAATAGTTAAATAAAATCAGTTGATAAATTAATAAGAAGATCAGAAGAGAAGATCAGTTTCTTTCAGATCAGTAGATAACTTTTATTGTTTTTATTTGTATCTATTATTTTTTATCTTATTTTAAATATTACAATATTATTTTTATTTATATTACTATAATTTATTATTAGATTACTTATTTTGATATATAATATTTAATATTTATTTTTGTTATAGTTATTATATTTTTTAATTTACATTTCTCTTAACTTTAATTAGTTTTTTTACTCTTTTAGTCTGATTTTATAATTTTCTTCAAATTTTTTGTTTTTGTTATAGTTTACTGTTTGTTTGGCTGTTTCGTTATTGTTTAACTACCATTAATATTATTTATTATAATTGTTAGTTTTTCGATACTTTAGTTGGTTGTTCTTATTTATCTATTCATATGCATTATTTTATTTTAACAAGTATTAATAACATAGCTGTTTACTTCCTACTTATTGTTTCTTACATTCTCTCTAATATTGCGGTTCCACTATGGCTTTAAACTGTCATTTGTATAAAAAATTAATTAGTCAAAGTTGCCGCTCATCTCAATGTAATATTTGTTTATTTTGGTCTCATACAAAATGTGACAGGCTTGATGATACTAAGTACAGTTTACTTCAATTAAGTCGCTCGTTGCAGAGTTGTTTAAACTGAATTAAAAGTGTCTTTCCATTCACAGATGTACAAGATAATGAATTTAAATTGCTGTTTTCTTCTGATATAATTCTTAAAACTGATGATTTACCTCTGTCTACAAACCTTTTTAATAAAGTCTTTGTCTACAAACCATTTAAATAAAGTCTCAAATCAAATTAATAATTATGTTTCATCTCGTGTTTTAGATTCTGAGGAAGAAATTTCTTCTTCATTAGACATATTTTGTAAATACTATGGCATAAGCGAATTACGTACACTTAATTTTAATAAAATAAGCGCTCTCTCCTTTTTTCATCTAAACATATCATCATTACAAAAACACTGAGGATTTAAACATAACTGAAATATAACTGAAACAAGGTTATAAAAAGGAACATCCTCAATTCATCCGATTCTCATTGATAATTACAACATTGAGCAGACACCAACGGAATCCTTTTGTGGCGGTACTTTATTATATTTATCAAAAAAACTAATATACAAACGAAGAGATGATTTAATGATTTATACACCTAATTGTTTAGAATCCACATTTGTTGAAGTTGTTTTTTCTAAAAAGTCTAATATTATTGTTGGTTGCATTTATAGACACCCTTGTATGGATATTATTATTTTAATAATATCATGTCTGCCTTACTTCAAAAAATATCTGCTGAAAATAAATCTGTTTTCTTACTTGGTGATTGTAATATTGATCTGATGCAATCAAATAATGACATTGCAACATCTGATTTTTTAAACTTATTTTCTTTTATAATATTCGCCCTTTTATTACTTTGCCAACTACTATTACTGATCACTCTGCTACAATTATTGATAATATTTTCTCTAGTTTAATAGCTAATGAAATTGTTTCAGGAAATTTGATAACTTCTGTTTCTGATCACTTACCTCAATTTTGTATTTGTCCCAATTTCAATAAATTATTTATACCACGCAGACACAATTTATATAGCAGGAGTTTTAAAAACTTTAATAAAGAAAACTTTAAATATGATTTATCAAAAATTGACTGGGACGATATTACAAAGTCCAATAATACTAACACTTTTCCAAACGTTTATTACTGAAACAACATTGATTTTAGATCGTTACGCCCCACTTAAAAAAATCAGTATAAAAAACTTCAAATGTTGATTCAAACCATGGATTACAAAAGGAATTATAAAATTTATTCAAGTGCGCAATCTTTTCTAAAAAAAAATGTTAAGATCTAAAGATCTTACTAATAAAAAAAAATTTGAAAGTATTTTTAAAAAATATAAATAGTTGCATTAATTAAACTTGGTAAAAAAAAACATTTTAAAAACTTTTTCTCAGAAAATGTAAAAAATCTTCGCGAACTTTGGAAAGGTATTAACACTCTAATTAATGTAAAAAATTTGAATAAATTTTTTACATTAATTAGAGTTAAAATCTCCCAACTGTTTACAAGAAAATGATACATATATAACTGACCCGACTTTAATCTCTGAATCATTTAACACTTTTTTTACAAATGTTGCTCATAAACTCAAATCCAATATTCATTCATCTTACATTAACTATCAAAAATATCTTAAACATCCAAATTTACATAGTTTATTATTATCACCAACAAATATTTCTGAAATTTCATTTCTTATATCTAAATTGAATCCAAAAACATCATTAGGTCCAAACAGTATTCCCACAAATATTCTAATAGATTTCTTTTAAATATTCTTTCTAAACTATTTAATATCTCATTTATAAATGGAAAATTTGATATTTTGAAATTATCTTGCGTTATTCCAATATTTAAAAATGGCTCTAAACTTTCATGCACTAACTACAGACCTATTCCTTTTTTATCTAATATTAGTAAGCTTCTTGAAAAACTTATGTATTCTAGAGTGTACTCTTTTCTAAACTCATTTAATTTTTTAAATGGTTTTCAATTTGGTTTTCGATCAAAACATTCTACTTGCCATGCAATAATAAGTATAACGGAAAAAATCAGGAAAGCTCTTTATAATGGTCATTTCCTTTGTGGTGTTTTTATCGATTTACAACATTTCTATACCGTTGACCATAGTATTTTGATTTCTAAAATAAAACATTAAGGAATTCGCAGTATTGTAAATGACTGGTTTCGTTCATATCTTTCAGATTAGAAACAATTTGTAAGTATTAATGGTTTCAATTCTAGTTATAAATCAGTTTTGTGGTTCTGTTCTAGGTCCTCTTTTGTTTTTAATCTACGTTAACGACCTAATCAACTCTGTTCACTTCTCTTCAGTCCATCTGTTTGCTGATGATACAAATCTCTTGCACATCAACAAATCGTATCATTCTTTATGTAAAAATGTTAATTCGGATCTAAAAGATATAGTTCACTGGTTAAATGCTAACCTAATATGTCTCGACACCGAAAAAACTGAACTAATTTTTTTTTCATCTCCAAGAAAAAACAATTTCTTTAAAAATGTACCATCTCCTATCATAAACTTGTTCACAGAAAGTAGACTATTACATTCCTACTCGGCTAAAAATATACATAATGGAAAACTAAATGTACCATCTTTTAAAACCCAAAAGTATGGTAAATGTTCTATTGTTTAACAGTCTGCCTGTGAATGGAACAGGAGCCTTGCATGCATTTTGAATGAGTCAAAAAAAAATATCCTAAAATACCATTACTTTATCTTAAACAAAATCAATTTAAAAAAGTTCTAAAAAACATTTTATTCTAACTTTTTGGCATTATTATCCTTATGATTTAAATATTGTTTTAGTTTTCTTTTCGTAATTATTACAATTATCATTTTTTTTTTATCAATTATACTTTTTTTTTATTTTTTTTTATTAGTAAAACCTGCAAATTGATTTCTACATGTTTGTTTTGATGTATATTTTATGTGCTTTGGTTTGTGTGTTAACGGTCCATGTGTTTCAGTGTGTGTCTTTGCTTATTATTATTACTTATATTAAAAATTGGTGTCACTCCTTTGATCAGATTTCTGTATGAGTGACCCCATCCTAATAAATCATTAACTTATTATTATATTAATATTAGTTATTATTATTATTTTTTCATTGTAAATATTGTAAAAATACTTATTATTACTATTACTATAATTTGTATAATTATATTTTTTATGTTTGTATAATTATTTTTCTTATCTTATGTTATTATTATATATTTTTGCTATTATTTCTATTATTATTATTATCATTATTATGAAAACTATTGTAAAATGATTTACGGAAAATAAATAGCTTGTTGTTGTTGTTGTTGTTGCATATTGTGATTACTTTGTTTTTAAAAAGTTCCTGCTTAGTCATAGTTACTAATTTGTGAATTTCCTTAAAATTATTTAAGAAAATTAAGTTATAAAACATATATTATTGTAATTATAAACATATAATTGTTTAAGAAAATAAGGTTATGAAACATTATTGTATTTTATATTATTGTATTGTATTGTATATTATTGTATTTTTTTATTTATTTTTTTAATTTTATATTTAATTCACCTCCTCAAGGCCGAGAAGGCCACTACAGACGAGGAGTCTACTTATTTGAGGTTATAACCCTCTCTCAACTCTATAACTCCGAAACACGAACCTGGATGAACAAGGCCGCTGCGCGAAAAAACAAGAAATATCTGTGCTGATATATAGCTGATAGTTGCCATCCACATTATTTCTTAAAATTTCTTAATGAGGCATAGGACATTACTTCTTAGATTGTCTTGTTTTTT